TGAGGATGTCCAGCGCATACCACCCTTAGACAGATGGTCAGACTGAGGCGATGAATAGGGTGGTTAAGATGGTCCTGCGCTGTACCTTGCATGCCGGGCAGGAGGGGTCGAACTGGGAGAAAATACTGTCTGTTGAATTTGTGATCAACAACAGTCCGACGCAGGCCACGGGGTACACGCCGTTTTATCTGAACTACGGCTTCTATCCGTGTACACCCGTGGACCTTATCCGGGATCACGACTCCACCATGATTGAAGGGGTCAACCAGTTTGTGGACCGGATCAAAAGGAATTTCTCAGCGGCTCTGAAATTTTTGAATCGGGCCAAAGACAGGATGAAGTCCCAAGCTGACCAGAAGCGAAGAGAACTAAGGCTGAGTAGTGGGGATCAGGTGCTACTATCGACTGAGCATTTGAACTTAAAGAATGCACCTATCCATAAGCTGAAGAGGCGATTTGTTGGGCCTTTCTTTGTGGTTCGTCAGGTGGGACCAGTGGCCTACGAACTCGACCTCCCTGAGAAGTAGAAGATTCACAACGTATTCCACATCAGCTTATTGTGTCCTTTCAGAACCAACCAGTGGGCGCACCGTACTCAGGAGGGTCAGATTGAGGACATCGAGCCCGCAGAGGATGAGCCGTACGATGTCGAGAAATTACTGCGTTGGCAGTGGGCAGGACCCAGTCCCAGGAGGCGCAAGGAGTACTTAGTGCTCTGGAAAGATTATTCATTGGATGACGCAACCTGGACTCCAGAGGAAAATTTCACTTACCCAGAAGAACTCAAGAAGATGATCAAGAGGGACCAGCCCGTTGAGGACAACTAGGCCATTGGATTTCGCTTAGACGTTTCGAGGGCGAAACTACCCTTAGGGGGGAGTACTGTTGTGTAAACTACTAGGGGGTAGCCGGTTTACTCCAATTATTCACTGGGAAGTGATAATTGATATGAGATTGTACCTAGATGGGACAGAGGAGGCTATTAGCTTTCCATAGGTCTTTGAATCATCCCAAACGGGTTAGCGGTAGTGGAGTTATGGCTAAGTTCCAGTACTTAAGGTTGGGCCCCTACCGTACTCGGGGATGAGATACTATCGATACGGGTACATTCGATACACTGTTCTGTTGATTGTGTACCGCTGCGTGTGGGGTTCATGTGACCGACCCCGCACGACAACCTGTAATTCCATTTGTGCCCACTCTCGCCTCCCAGCGGCTGCACCCGCAGGCCGCAAGGCGCCGCGCGCACCCACTGCGCGTACGGCCGCCCTGCGCTCAGCCATTCTGTAGGCTTGGGCCCACACTGCGCATCCGAAGACACGAGCGCCCCGCAAAGCCTGCCGGCCATCCGGCGGAGGGGGCCCCGCGGTCCCATCGGGCGCCTCGGCGGGCGCATCGCCCGCGAACACACCGAAAACCATGCCAGGCATCATGTGTTGGCGGCATTACGGGATGTTCACGCACATCCTTCCTTGGACAAGTGGCGCCGGTTTCTCTCTCTTTTGCGCGGCCATTTTATCCAATGTGTTGTTCCTTATGCAACCTCATCTGGGGCATTCACAGTGATTACAGACACGAGCAAGCTTGGTTGGGGGCTGTGTTACTCGTTGGGCATCACATCATATGTTGTGCACACGGCTTATGGTCAACAGGTTTTCAGCACCACGTGAGCAATGTGTTGGAATTAGAGGCACTCTGTAGAGCTATTCAGACATTCCGACCTTTGATTTTTGGTGCGCCTATCAAGGCTATCATGGACAACCAGGCGGCTGTGAGCTTCAACAATCCCGCCCACTTCAGTGATTTTCTCAAACGGTGCTTAGACCACCTTTCCTGGTATTCTCCTCCGATTTCATTCTGCCCGGGGCCAGAGGTGGGCCGTCCAGGAATGGGGACGGACTAGGAACGGGGACGGGAACGGGAACGGGGACGGACCGGAGTCCGTTCCCGTCCTTGGGCCGGCAGGCCCAGGAACGGCTAAGGAACGGCCCGTCCCTGGGCTGGAACAGACTCGGGACGGAACTGGAACGGTGTACTGCCGTCCCAACTCCGTTCCGGCACAGTACGGCCCACCTGGGCGTCCGTTCCTGTACCGCTCCATGCCATGCCTCCCTCCGTTCCAGCGTGTCATAGAGTCCGTTCCTATCCGGCAACATCACACGTGGGCCAATCAGAATTGTATGATGCAGTTGGAAGCGCCCGTCCTGCATTTGTTCATCAATGATGGGTGCTCCCAAGTGCGTCATGCAATTCCTGGCCTTCTTGCCACCACACATCGCTGCCGCCTTGTGGGGAGGTGCTGGTGGTGCCCACCATCGGTGGCAAGCACAAGGACGGACGCGGGAGGAACGTGGAGGCGGAGGCAAGTGTTGTGAGGCGACGCAGCCTCACCAGGTGCGTGAAATCGGCGCTCAAAGCGCCAATTGAGAGGCATCGGAGAGGTGCCAAAAAAGGGTGAGATCTGGGCGGCCAGGCGCTTGCTGACCCGAACGGTCAACAAAGGGGAGGGGGCGGGGGAGGGAAGGGCAGAATGTGCCAAGGGAAAGGGAGGGGAGATGGCAATAGCCCCCTTGCTCGCTAGAATCGCTGCGGGGGGCTAACGATCTGCCCCGTCGATTTCCGAATTAGGCTTGATGGAGCTGGGGGAAGCTGGGCGGTCACAAAAGGGAGGCCGGGGAGGGCAGGTAACGTGGCCAAAATAGGGGGAGGGGAGACGGCCAAAGGCCACTCGCTTGTTAGAATCGTCCCTAGAATCGCAAGTGAATCTGGCGTTGTGGTGAGATGGTCACCACGTTGGGTGCACCACCCAACGGCCCGAGTTCGATTCTCGGCAGCGCCTTAGCTTGCTGGTGGTCAACAAAAGGGGGAGCAGGGAGGGGAGGGCAACGTAGACCAAAATAGAGGAAGGGGAGAGGCCAAAGGCTCCCTTGCCCTTAGAATCGCTGCGAGCGGGTAATGTTTTGCCCACTCCCGTTTTGAATTGGACACGATGGGAGGCAGCCGTGCGGCAAGCTACCCACCAAAATGTTATCAATACAACCAAGGCATGTTGGTGCCCCTTTCGCCGCTATGTGGGCACACGCCTCAGCCCACGCTTGGGCCATCAATTGCCGCCTCCGATGGTGGGAAGATTGCTTGCAAGAGGCGTCCACCGTTTCGGCAGCTCCCCTTGCTATGGCATGTGGTAGCTCAACAACAATTGGTTTTGATCGTTAGCAACGCCCGGCCGCTGCAAGCCCTTGCCGTGTTTTGTTGTCCATTCTTGTTGGAACGGAGTCCGTTCCACGATGGGAACGGACCCGTTCCAACCCTGTTCCTGGCCGGCCCAGATCCGGCCCAAATCCGTTCTTTGGGAATGGCCCAGGAACGGACTGGAACGGACTGGGACGGACTGGGACGGGAACGGGGACGGATCCGTTCCTGGGACGGGGACGGACACCGTTCCCGTTCCCATTCCTACCAAATCTGGACGGGCCCACCTCTGCCCGGGGCCATTTAATTTTCTGGCTGATTTTTTTGTTGAGACAGGGGGCTTGGATTTTGGGACATTCACATGTTTGTGTAGTGGAAGGACAACACTCCTTGGTCATTTCTCAGGCACAATGGAAGTAGGCCCATGCAGAGCATTTTGGAGTGAGGAAGACATATCTTCGCTTTTGCCAAATGGGTCTGCATCCGACATGGCAGTTGGTAACAGATAGGGTGCAGCCATGCAGAGTTTTAATTGTTCTATCGACCGCAGCCATCGAATCCGTTCGGCAGTTGGCATGTGCCAGAGAGGCCGGGTCAAGTTATTGGCCTGGGTTTTATGGGACCATTCCCAGAGAGGAAAGCGGGAAAGAAGTGGTTTGTTCTTGTCATTGTGGACATGTTGACCAGACGGGCGGCAGCATAAGCAGTAACAGGGGCAACAGGGGCAGACATTGTGCAGGGCTGAAGAAATGGACACAAACATAGGGAACACCGTCAATCTTGTGTTCTAATGTCTGCAAGGCCATACAACCCAAGGAGTTGGAGAGGTGGTGTGCACAGGAGAGAGTGACACAAGAATACTCTCCCCCTTACCATCACTTGTCCATTTGATTTGTAGAGCGGTTTAATCAAACACTGTTGAACCGTTTGAGGCGTATGTGGGCAGAGGAGCCAAAGCATTTTGCCAAGGCGGTCAAGCGGGCGGTGGAGATCTACAATAACATGCCCCTCTCTTCAGCAGAAGAGAGCAAGAAAACGCCCAACTCGTTTGTGGAATAGTCCACGGGCCGTGTGGAGGCGGCTACATGAGTACGCGTATCAACAACGCGAGAAGGCAAACCACACGACAAGGGGACGGCGAATCCAACAGACATTCAGGGCAGAAGACCAGGTGTGGTTATGGAACACAAAGGTCGAAATGCTCAAGGACAACCTGGCAAAGTTTACATGGCATCAACTACATTTCCACATTTCCTGCAAATAGTATCATATATTGATTGCCACTGTTCAGGCATCAAGAGCCTCCCCTAACTTTCCAGCCAGCAACATCTTGGGCTGTGCACCCACAACTGCAATTTAAATGGCTGCCTATGTCCTTCTATGGGTGGCCATCCCGAACAGCAAGGTTCAGGTTTTGGTGTGATTCTTTAGTTTGCATGGTATAATGACTGACAGCAACGATGTCCAACAGAAAATGGACAATGAGGCTTAACTGCAACTTGTGTCAGCATTGGGAGCAACTATTTGCCTGATTAGTGGGCACTACGGCTAAACACTATGGAACTCTACGAAGCAAGGCATTACCAGAGGTGCAAACTAATGGGCTTGCATATTCCAATCATACATCAATCTGCCTTGCTATCAGCCTGCAATCCGTATCTTTCTGATGGCCTCTGATGCAAATCAGGCTTGCTTGAATTGAACAAGCCTGTGTATCCATTGCAGCACATTGGCGAAGCCAGGGTTCACTCCATAGTCACACACACCTCAGCCACACAACTGCCACCCGTTGGGGCAATATCGACCTTTTAGTTGCCCTCATTAAGAGGTGAGACTCTGTCTGCTGCAGCTACTCCGTCAAGCACTAGATTCCAGAATTTTGCAACATCCATCGTCATTGCCACTCCGCAATTGGCAGGCTTTCCAGACTGGCCCCAAATATCACACACCGTTTGCCCAGGGGATAAAAGTGAGCATGTCTCGATGTCCACATGCATGACCTTGACCTGCAACAGGTTGTCACACAATGGCTAGTTTGTGCTTCACAATGATCAATGGTTGTGGAAATTGCAGTGCAATTTTATACCAACTGTCTGCGAAATTGCTTGAAAATACAAACAACATTTTTGTTGTCGCAACCATACAGCATCAAGCAGACGCCGCCTATCAATATATGGAGAAACCAAGTGGCAACTGCGGACACAAGAGTGCATCCCCACCTGAAAGATGCCAGGGTCAATAACAGCAGCCACTGCACAGGGGTCATGGAGTGGTGGGTGATCAAATTGAAACACCTGCTTGTAAGTTTGTGCAAAGAACGTCACAAGGTCCCCCAACATTCGTCGGAATGGACTGGGTTTGTCTGTCACAATGCGCTTCAACACCATATCCGTCACAAGTGCAGTATGGGTCACCTTGCAAGAAGGACACAGAGTGAAGTCAGTGTGGAACATTGCCACACAGGTGAGAACTGACCAGATAGCGCATATTCTGCTCCGAAATATTTCCATCTGTACTCAAACATTAACTTGCAGAGGCAAAATCAGCAACAATCCAGCAACAAGTCAACATTGAGATTGGCCAAATACTGGCCATTTAGGGGGCATTAGATAGCCTGGGTACATGTCGAATAAGGGGCCTGGTAGTGTCCCCATGAGGCATGACTCCAAAGAGGGCATTTCTGCGGGCCAGACACTGAAAGCTGTCATCATTCATGTGCATTGCAGCACTGATTACTTTACCACATGAGATTTCCATCACTTACCACCCAATACAACTACCATTAGCTATGAATCCAGGTATTCAGAAGCCAAATCTGCCAGTTGCATTTGCGATTTGCTGATTTTCTGGACTTGAGCCATGTTCAGGCGACCATTTAAGCAAAACAAATATGAAATGTAACAACACACGGCAAGAAATAAACGCCCATTTGGCAACAACCAACGACCTGAACATGGTTGTAAACACTGCATGACAATTTCACATCTGTTCCCAGCTGTGTGAGCAATTAACTAACATTGTGGGTGGATAGCAGTGATGTCACATCACATCCCTTTTAGATATGTTTTAAGCGTTTAACGTACAGATATGTGCTCACAATGCACAGAAGATTGCATGACGTCCTACATAGAAAATGTGTCAAAAAAGGGTGGCACTATTCACGCCTGGGTGCTACTTAGAGAATGCTGTATCAGGATCTCAACTGTGCTGAGACGGCAGAATCATGACCTGCCACTTTGTCCTGTCATGCCAACTTGTGCTATCACTCTGGTTGCCAGGAATGTCGATGGAATTAACAGCAATGGGCTTCCTCTGTGCAAATGTCCCTTTAGCCAATTGCATGCAGTGCAACAGTCTGCATATGTGTCAAATATGCAGAGTGCAAAGACCTTGACAGTGTGTTCCAGTTCCGAGGCACGCATACCATGCGCTAAACTAGATGCACAGTTTCGGCAACCAAGCAACATCCAATGTCTAAACACACGGACAATTTTAGGAAAACCACATCAACATCTAGTCATATGACTGATCACAACTCAATGTAGAAGAACCAAAATCTTGTTTTCAGCTAACTCCAGAAATCCTAGCACACCCTTCTAGCACCACAGTGCACACCTCCAATGGCACCATTGTGAGTGGCACTCCGCTCTGGAATACGATCTTGGCAGCTTCAGGATCCGATTGAATGTTGAATTCCATCACTGGGCCAGTGTTGCCAATTCCCAAGCAGCCCCCCATGGTGACAATCTCGATCATTTCTCGCACTTCAGGGTAGACCAATAACAAGACCGCACAATTCGTCAATGGGGCTGTGCACACTAATCGCGTTCTACGTCTACCAGAACGCATGAATTCACCTGCCAATCTACTAAAGATAACATTCACTGCTTTGCCCTGGACAGGTGCTCTGGATGGAGAACTGTTTCCAAACAGATGGCCACCGTGCTGAGAATCGAGGCCTGAGCTGCCATGAATTTCAGGACAAAAAGGGGAATGGCGCATCAATGGCCCGGATTGGCCAGATACAACATCTGCAAAGCAGAAAAAAGACCTCAATGTGCATGCAACACAAGCAAAGCCAGCAAATGCACCAGGGCTCTTCACAAGCTCAAGCTCCAGATTATTCTGAAGATACACCTGGAGGACCAAGTAACCCACTTGAACCACTGTACCACAGACCATGGAGGATAGAATCTCCCCCCCCCCTCCCCCCTCTCCGCGATGTTGTGCATCGGGGCTGGCATCATGCACGTGGGGGATATTGTCTTGCATGGCCCCATGCTATCTTATGTGCCCCCTGTACCAAGTCGATGAATCAGAAACACCTCCAAGTTGTCACAAGGACCACCAGACCTATTCAACACATTGCATACTAGTCCAAAATATGACGCCAATCACAGTAAAAGTAGGAGGATGTTACCACAACATTTCTGTGACTTGCTGCACCATGTGACTGCATTTTTGATCGTGAACAAGGATGTCCCATCATGGAAGCTGCATAACCCATGCGCTGTCTAACATTCCCCAACATTCTGCAACATTGACCATGCTTCATAAGGCAAGGGCCGCTATCTAAGAACCCTGTGCTCTTCCACACAACCTGTACTATCCTCTGTGATCAAGAGCACCAAACAGTCAAATTGTACTCGCTGTGCCATCTCATGTGTCCACAATTCCAAAGAAGCATTATAAAACAAGATCTTGTCATCTCACCAGTTTGCAGGCCAACTGCCTCAACGATGTGGAGAGCATTGTGTGTCACTTTCTCGAGCGTTTGGTTGCCTCCTACTGTGCTGATTCCTAGAAGCCTCAGGCTTGGAGAAAAACCTGGGGGTCAAGCCTTCAGATCAGTTTTGTTGTCAACACTAGCTAACACTGGTCGTGCCAACACAGGGTGCAAGGAGTATGCACATACTCTTGCAATGATGAGCATTCCACACAATTATATCGATTATATATATTTGGCAACAGACACTCCCTCCTCGCTTAGGTGTCTTGCATTCTCATTGCTTTCATTTACACCGTCGCACAATCATGCTCAAGTGCACTTGTGCAACTTCCCATCGTTGTCCCAAAAACGACGCCCCCTTCGAATTGGACGCCAGCGTCAATTTCAAGATGCTCACGTTGGGGTTCGTGCTTTCAACGAAAACCGTTGGTTGGCGTGCACAGAGTTAAGGAGGCGGCCCATATGGTCGCCCTTGTAGATGTGAAGGACTGGGGCATTGCCTCGTCAGCGCCCATTTCGCGCACGTCAAGCAATTGTCCAGGACAACCCTTGCATCAAACGAAAGGCTGCAGCTCCTGCCACAGAAGATCTAACGGTCGTCGCGACTCTGTGACAGACGAAGCAACACACCCAGCGGAGCATCCACGTTTCTTGTGCGCAGCGATCATCATCTGCAAACAAGCAGCTTGCCCAAAGGAGGTTTTCGTCTTTCCAACTCAATTTTCTGCTCAGCTTCGCAGCTACGTGTCCGTCGTTCCCCCAATTCGTTGTCGCCGCTCGTTTTCTTGCCCAGCCTCAGAATCCAATGCGATCCCACCTGCAAGGATGATAGCAATTGCGTCGTCGTGACCAGGGTCGCAGTCAAGCCATACTGCGGTGGAAGGACTGGTGGTCCCCTCCGCTTCCTCCATCCCAGGTCCTATCAGTAGTCCAAACCAGTCGTGGACGGAGCCCACTGGTGGGATGTCCCACTACCAAACCACCTGGAGCAGGGGCAGGAAGAGGGTACAGTGGGGGCCCCGCTTTAGCGACCCATATTTAGGGACCTGTCAAGGTTTAGCGACCCCCTGAAGGGCTTGTCACCGTTCCCGTAGTATTTTATTTTACTACGACAGGGTACTCCCTATACCGGCGGCCAGGGTAACCATACACCGGCGGCAAGAGTATCCCTTACATCGGCAGCCAGGGTACACCCTATATTGGCAGCGTCCTATTCATGTTGCAGATGCCTTGCAGGACTTAAACTATCGCTAAATTGCGTTAAATGTTGTTAGAGTAGTTAAAATACTGGGAGACCTTAGTGACCCATCTAGGTTTAGTGGCCCCTTAGCCAGTGTATCAACGGGGGTTGCTAAATTGGGACCTTGTAAGGGGCATCGCCCTTGGGAGTCCTTTCTCACCAGCCGGGGCACGGCCCATTTTGTCCCGTTCGATTCAGAAGCTGGTTGTACTACGCGAGAGGCAAAAATAGACAAGGTTATGATTACATTGGTACAGTTTGATTTCTTGTTTATAGTTGCCCTAGGGCGGCAACTGAACAGCCGAACGGCCGCTGCCAGAATCAACCGGTTCTGTTCGAATTTGTATCCGCATCCATTTGTATCCTCGTACGCTACTTACCTCACAGTTGAGGTATCTAGCCTGTCTCATCTATGACATATTGCCAACACTATATTTAGTCCTGTCTGGTCCCGAGGGTCCCATAGGCTTGCCCCTTTCATAAACCACCATGTTGACCAACACGGCTCCCCCTTTCCCATAATTCTCTTCCGTCTATTGTGCCGAGGAATTCCCCGGGCTGCTATCCCTATTGTGCAAGGCCAGTACTTGGCCCAAAGCCCATGATATTTTATTATACAATGTTCTCCCACGAGCGCTCATACTGTACAGCGTGCCGTGTTTCTCCCAAAGTTTAGTGTTCTATTATACAATGCCCCTGGTCGGTTCATAATGTACAGTGAGGTGTGAGTTCCCCCCTCACAAGCCCCCAATATAGTGCAACCCCTTGAAGTAATCATCCACCCAACAAAACAAAACCAGATTTTTGGTGTTTGAGTTGATGACTAGTGCCCAAATTAGATTGCAAATGATTGGTTCAAAATACTAGAAAAGATATTTGGACAATCTGTTTGTGCAAAATAATTAGAACGTGCTCAAACTATAATACAAGATAATCAACAATATATAACCTTTGGGCTCGCGCTCTCCATACTACAATATATTTGTGGTCAGATACATGCTCCCAATAAACTATACGTAAATTGGCCATGGTGGTTAATAAAGCACTAGACAACAACTTTTATTTTCCATAAATCAATGATATAACCAATATAGAGGCTGACAATGCCTGTCGTCATAATGTGGAGGGTCAGAGTGGGGGCGTTCTGACCACAACTCTATTATTGAATAATTATTATTTATTAGTAGCATAGAATGGAATCTAGGCCCAATAATGGAGGGAGGGCAACAACTTTTAACTACCTTCACACAAGAAATAACCATGTATGTCTTTGACACTATAGTTTGGGGTGCTAAAGGCAACAAGTTTAGCAATCGCATATGGATATTACTGAAGCAATTCCATCCGGGTTCAATGCCACACCAGAGGATAGCCCATCTAATGATGGCATTTTATGATACAAGAGGGGAAGGGGCCATAGAGAAAACTTGTTGCAACCCCATTGGCAGCCACTGGTTTCCGGATGCATTGGTCGCCCTATCCTGCAGCTTAGCTGTTGGAGGTTAGCTGACCCTCTCCACCTTGGACGATAGGCGTATTAGAGGTGGCCATTCAAGGGTGCCATCCGGTCCGTTAAATCCGGTTCGTTAATTTTTATCAGCTGTCCGTTAAATTTCGTTAAAGAAAAAGGGAGAAAAATTCAGAAAAAACAAAAAAAATCCAAAAAAATCGAAAAAAACCCCAAAAAATCACAACAACTGCGGCTAGTTGAAAATCTAGTATGCATAGGATGAAATAAAATACAAACATACTCTCTAATAGCGAATTCCATAAACTATAAGTATGATTAAAACCCAAAAATCCTCAAAAAATCCAAAAATCCCCTAATTTTTGGTTAGTTTTTGTCTTTTTTCGTTATTTTCTGTTAATTAACGGAAAATTAACGGAAATTAACCTCTGTCCGCTATTAACGGATCCGGGTGGCCACCTCTAAGGCATATCCGGGGCAGTCGCTCCCATGTTTGCATGGTGGGCCCAATGCTCGATGGGGATCGGTCCCCAGGGCCTGTTATCGGCGAGAGGTGGTGTAAGGGGTGAGGTCCCCTTTTAGCCAGGCAGGAAACGGCCCGTTATCCCCATTCGACTCAAAGACTGGTCAGGTCGGAAATGAGTTGCAACTTTGATTACAAACTGTTCGGGTGCGACTGTATTTATACTCGCCTCCCAAGGCATCCCAAGGGTCATGCCAGAAGTAGGGTGAGTCATCCTATTTCCGGCATACCCGCCAGGTTTTGATTCGAATTTGTTTGTCCCTTGTTCTTCCGTACACCGACCTACTGGTCCCTGAGGCTTGTTGGCCTTTATCCTGTCTAACCCACCCATTTGGGCCCCAAAAACAACTGCCGCTTGAGCTGAGCGTGTTGACCAACATGGCTCCCCCTTTCATATGGTGCCCTTCCATCTATTGTGCTAGAAAACCCCCTAGGCAAGTCATAGGTCCCCCATAGGATAGTAAATTGGCATATGTGCATTTTAATGAGTGAGATAGGTGAGGCTCATGTTAGTCAGTGCGGCTTACTGTACATTGAACTACAATAGTGATATGATGTGTTGGTGCACCATTGCATAGCCTTATACCACCTAGCACTATACTGCATTGAATCGAACGTCTGTGTGCTTGTTTTATATCATGTTGAGGGCAAAATGGTGGTGTATGAGCTGTGGTGCTGTGGGCACTTTATACAATATGTGTTACCAATATACTTTAAATTGCTATAGTTATACACATCAATATATCTTGTTCATTACAATTAACAATATCATTCGTGTGGTTGCCATGGGGATTTACATACTCATAATAACTGGACATGCTGGGGACTTGATGTACACAGGAATCTAGTCTTCAAGTTAGGTGTGAATATAGCTTGTATGTTACAATTAATTAGCATGGTGCATTTGCTCTATTGTGTAGGATTGGTGTACCTGTATAAGGTGGATGCGTTGGTGCATTTGTATGCACAATATTCTATACATCGGATCAGGCATGTCCACTGCAGGTATTATGTTAACCTAGACACTACAGCGATTATTGAC